GCACCAACCAACAAAAACAACGCAGCGGCAAAGCTGCAGCAATGCCGTTGATGCGATATGTGTGGCAGGCAGGCACGTGGTACAACACGGACAGAGGGGGTGGCGGCACGGGTACCCTTCCCTCCTCCGAGACACGGCGACCTCACGCCGCGGCGTCCGCGGGCCGCCAGCGTGGAGCACCTCGGGGAGGAGAGAGGGCGCTCCCGCGCGACCCTACGCTTAGGTCGAGCATGTCTCCCTGCAGGCGGATTCGGGACGAAGAATGGAAACAATACCCTAAAAATATCCCAAGATTCCAGAACTGTTCGAAAAAATCGACTATCTTTTTACTATTTCCCCACATCCAAAGTGGGGTTCTTGTTTTCTCTGGACACCCCGCGCAGGAACACTCACCCCCTCTTCTCCTCGCACTCATTCACACACACATCATCATCACTCGCACTCTCTCACACGCTCACGAACATCATCGTCATCATCGGTATCGGCATCATCCTCATTCAAACATCATCATCGCCACCACCACCCACAATCAATCATCATCCTCTTCACCACTCATCTTCACCACCACTCATCATCCTCATCCTCATCATCGTTGAGTAAAGTGTGAGGAAGTCTCAGGCGGGAGCCCCCTCCCTATGGGGCCCGCAGATCATGTTGGTAATCCGAGCGGGTCATCGGAACCCTGTAACTGTCGTCACTTTTGGGCTCCCCAAGCCTGAAAATGGAGGAAGTCTCAGGCGGGAGCCTCGTCTGTGAGTGAATTGGGAGGAAGTCTCAGGCGGGAGCTCCCTCCCTATGGGGCCCGCAGATTATGTTGGTAATCCGAGCGGGTCATCGGAACCCTGTAACTGTCGTCACTTTTGGGCTCCTCAAGCCTGAATATGGAGGAAGTCTCAGGCGGGAGCCTCGTCTGTGAGTGAATTCTGAGGAAGGCTCAGCGGGAGCCCCCTCCCTATGGGGCCCGCAGATCATGTTGGTAATCCGAGCGGGTCATCGGAACCCTGTAACTGTCGTCACTTTTGGGCTCGTCAAGCCTGAATTTGGAGGAAGTCTCTGGCGGGAGCCTCGTCTTTGAGTGAATTGTGAAGAAGTCTCAGGCGGGAGCCCCCTCCCTATGGGGCCCGCAGATCATGTTGGTAATCCGAGCGGGTCATCGGAACCCTGTAACTGTCGTCACTTTTGGGCTCCTCAAGCCTGAATATGGAGGAAGTCTCAGGCGGGAGCCTCGTCTGTGAGTGAATTGCGAGGAAGTCTCAGGCGGGAGCCCCCTCCCTATGGGGCCCGCAGATCATGTTGGTAATCCGAGCGGGTCATCGGAACCCTGTAACTGTCGTCACTTTTGGGCTCGTCAAGCCTGAATTGGAGGAAGTCTCAGGCGGGAGCCTCGTCTGTGAGTGAATTGTGAAGAAGTCTCAGGCGGGAGCCCCCTCCCTATGGGGCCCGCAGATCATGTTGGTAATCCGAGCGGGTCATCGGAACCCTGTAACTGTCGTCACTTTTGGGCTCCTCAAGCCTGAATATGGAGGAAGTCTCAGGCGGGAGCCTCGTCTGTGAGTGAACTGCGAGGAAGTCTCAGGCGGGAGCCCCCTCCCTATGGGGCCCGCAGATCATGTTGGTAATCCGAGCGGGTCATCCAAAACCTGTAACTGTCGTCAATGTTGGGTTCTCGCGCTGCCAGAACGCAGTTCCCAGGCCACACTTTGGATGCAACAAGGAAGTTTTTGGGCTCCTCAGGTCGCCGAGGTGCTGCGACAGGGCGCCGAAGGCGCCGACGACGACGGCCAGGCCGAGGCGCGGGCGCGGAGCTTGCTGATGTTCAGGCCCAGCGAAAGGGAGTTCACATGGCAGAGCTCGGGGGCGCACAGCGTGCGCCGCTCGGGGTTCACCCTGACGCACGCGTCCTACCTGACCTCCACGCTGTCGCAGGGCCAGACGCTGCGCAAGGGCGTCACCATCGACTGCGCGAGAGACGAGGACGCTGGCCGCACGGGCATGTCGGACGAGCAGTGGTGGCTGCACCTCTACGTCATGTTCTCCCGCGCCACGTGCATGCGGAACATGCTGATCCTGCGGCCGCCGCCGCGAGAGTTCCTGGAGTGCGGGCCGCCGGCGTCCCTGCGGAAGGCGCTCCTGGAGTTCGACAAGAGAGCGGTTTTGTCCAGGGCGGAGGCGAAGCAGCTCGCGGCAGAGCTGGGCTTCGTGCTGCCTTCCGCCTGAGCGCGGCTGCGCCTCGCTCGAAGCCCGCGGGGTTGTCCCAACGGCTTGGTCTTGCGCGCCAACGGCTCGCGGGGTTGTCCCGACAGCCTGGCCCGCGGGGTTGTCCCAACGGCTGCGCGACGTGACCAGTAGAGAACGCGCCTGTGCTGGCCGTGGCGGCGACGGCGCCGAGGAACATCGACATGCGCGCTCATGCAACAGGAAGGGGAGGAGGTGGCGGGGCGCGGAACAAACAGGGGGGCGAGGATGGGGACAACGTAAGGAGTGGAAGGGGGGCCCGCGCCAAGGCGAGAGGAAATATACGCAGAAGAGACAGCCAGGACGCCTCACCAACCACGAGGACGACGGTGATGGCTTTTTCCAGATTCGCCCAGAGGATTCTTATGTGGGGTTCTTCCGTCGGAGTAATTTTGAATTTACTATGTTTGAATATTCCGATCTTTTACTGTTTTTGCATATTCCTCCTGTAGAGGGACAGCCCCAACCGAACCTTACGCGGGAAGCGCACGCGCGAATGCCCGCGCGGTGGACCCCGCCTTCCTCCGTCGCTCACAGCGAGCCGCCTCGCCGATGATGGCAGCCGACCGAGCGCGGCGTGATCCGCCGACCCCATCTGAGGTCAGGAGGGCTTGCTTGGCGTGTCGCGACGGCGGCCCTGGCGACACTCCTCCTCCTCCTCCTCCTCCTCCTCCTCCTCCTCCTCCTCCTCCTCCTCCTCCTCCTCCTCCTCCTCCTCCTCCTCTCCTCCTCCTCCTCCTCCTCCTCCTCCTCCTCTCCTCCCCGCCTCCGCCTCCTCCTCCTCCCCCTCCTCCTCCTCCTCCTCCTCCTCCTCCTCCTCCTTCTCCTCCTCCCTGCAAGTGGACAGCGTGTCGCTCCACTCCGCGGGGCGGGGGTCTCGGAAGGGCTCCGGGACGTTGCCGCTCGGGGACCGAGCCGTGGACAGCGTGTCGCGCCCAAGCGTGGCAGGCCAGAACCGGCGGAGCGACGCGCTAACCAAAAGCTCGCGACCGTACGTCGACCTTGGATCGGGCGTTGGCAGAACTGGGTTTAGTGGAACCTGGTTTAGTGATGTGTACTGGGGGCCCGCCCCGTTCCACTAACCGGAACTGCCGTCACCCGAAGAAACTGTGGCTGCGGCAAAAATGGTGCAGTGATTCTGGCCAATTCAGGGGCTCCGGGGCCCTACCACTGACCGGGTCCCCCTACCTGGGGTCCTGGCTATACCCGATTGGAAGCGGCTGGGGGGTCTGAACTGGCTGGGACCCCAGAAAATCGGTCACGAGAGAGGGATGAAGGCAAATCCGCTCAAGATCGGTCCCCAGACCCCTCCTGGCACCCATAAGGTGGACTCTTTGCTCACCCTGGATCCGAGGAGGAGGAGGAGGAGGAGGAGGAGGAGGAGGAGGAGGAGGAGGAGGAGGAGGAGGAGGAGGGAGGGAGGAGGAGGGGGGGAGGAGAGAGGAGGAGGAGGAGGAGGAGGAGGAGGAGGAGGAGGAGGAAGAGGAGGAGGAGGAGGCCCCGAAGGCCGAAAATGGCAAAAAAAACTAACCGAACCCAGCGTCTAGAACCTGCCCGCACTTCCTGCTTCGAGTAGAGAGGATCGACTACTGAATCGATCTACCCCCCAACTGATTTGGCCGTCGGATCTGCAAACGAGCTCGTGGAATCTTCGTAGATCTGAAGAGATCATTCACATTTTTCTTCGCAGAGCCGACCATCAATTCCATTTTGGGGCAAGTCAATTCTCGGGAGCGGAAAAGAGGGGGGTGTCCAAGAGGGGGGGGCGCAAATCATGACCGGCGGCATGTGCGCGGCCCAGCGGGGGGACCAGGGACGTATGAAATAAGAAGAGGCGCCATGAAATTTGGGGAGATATCATGGCCCCCGCCATGAGATCCACCCCCCCCTAGTCATCACCCCCCTCTTTTCCGCTCCCGAAATTCTGTAGTCGATCCCCTACTCAACTACTGGCCGGAACCAGTGCTGGGCCACCTCAGAGCCCCAGACGGCGCCGACCGGCGGCGAGCCCAGGGGGGAAGCGAGAAGGGGCGGGCATTCTCAGAAGGCTCGGAAGTCCCCTGGCCTTCTGAGAAGTTTCCGAAGCCGTCCCAGAAGACACCTTTTTCGTTGGCGGCGAGGCAGAGGCAGTCCGCTCCAGCGTGTGGCTACTCAGGGCAAGCCCCGAAGACACAGAAAACCTCTCAGAAGGCGCGAGGGCCACAGAGAAACCCCGCCGCCTTCTGAGGAGACCTTCTCCTTCTCGCTTCCCCTACCCTCGCTCGCCGCCGAAGTGCTGGGCCACCTCGGCACCCCAAACGGCGCTCAGTGGCACCGTAACGGATACGTACTCACTAACTGGTATCTTGGAAAGTTGCCGAAAGTTGCCACTCTAGGGCCTCGTTCTGTCATTGCAGCGCTGCCCACATCGGGGAGGGAGGGCTGGGTTCGCTGGGTCATGCATCCCTCCCTGAGCCTACCCACAGCGGGCTCGGCTGGACAGGCCTGGCCAGCAGGTGTCTAGGAGGAGGAGGAGGAGGAGGAGGAGGAGGAGGAGGAGGAGGGAGGAGGGAGGAGGGAGGAGGGAGGAGGGAGGAGGGAGGAGGAGGAGAGGAGGGAGGAGGAGGAGGAGGGAGGAGGAGGAGGAGGAGGAGGGAGGGGGGGAGGAGGCTGCGGGGAGGGTTGGCCGAAGTTACCCGTCAGTGGAGTCCCTGTGAGGGGACCGCCAGGCGGCGCCAAGCCTCGGCGGACCCCGGGGGGCCTGGAGGGGCGCGCGGGCCCCCGTCCTGCGCGAGCCGCGTCCACAGCGCCCGCCCGCCGGGCAGGTCGAAGCCGCCGCCCTGCGGGGGGCCCAGGCCTGGGGCGCACGCCCTCCTCCTCCTCCTCCTCCTCCTCCTCCTCCTCCTCCTCCTCCTCCTCCTCCTCCTCCTCCTCCTCCTCCTCTTCCTCTTTCTCCACCTCCTCCTCCTCCTCCTCCTCCTCCTCCTCCTCCTCCTCCTCCCTCCTCCTCCTCCTCCTCCTCCTCCTCCTCCTCCTGAGTGCCGCGGTCCAGGTGGCTGCATCGCTGTGCTCCCAGGCCCACTGCAATTCTTCCACGCGTCTGCTGCTTTGGTTCCCCTCGTCGTGCTCCTCCATGGTGTGCGCCTCCCCAGTTTGTTGTTGTGCTCCGTTTCGCTCTCCGCCTTCGTTATCGTATGCACCTCCCCCTTATCCTCACCTCCGACCTCTTTTCCTGCTGCTGATCCTCGCCCACACTCGTCCCCCTCTTTCCTGCCTCTCCTCCTCCCCTTCCTTCATCCTCTTTTTCGACGACGACCACAACGACGGCGACGACGACGACGACGACGACACCGCCGAGCAAGGCCGCGACGACGACCACCAGAACGGCAAGGACGACGAGGACGACGACGACGACGACGACGACGACGACGACCATGACGACGTCGACGAAGACGATAATGACGAAGGCGGCCAAGGGCGACGACGACGACGACGACGAGCACGATGACGACGAGGATAACGACGGCGAGAACGACAAGGACAAGAACGGCGATGATGGCGAGGACGGCGACGGCCAGGACGACGACGACGACGGCGCCCTCCGCAGCCGACTGGGGCGGCGGCCATTCGCGAAGGCACACAGCTTACCCTCGAGCAGCTTGTACTCCTTTGCCCGATGTAATGCGCGAAATGTCCGAAAGCAGCTTCAAAGAGTCTGATCGGGGAGAAGGTTGAACATAAAACCTGGTCAAGGTCATCCACACCCCCAGCGACCACATACAGCCGGACCCAAGACAGAAAAATGTCCCTCGAGAACATGAGAGAACCTCAGCCTGCCCCACTGAAGCACATTCGAGGGTGCCCTCACCCAGGATGCACAAGAACATCCAACGAGCATTAGATCGGGCCTGTCCCCCTACAAGGGGATAAAACATAGCCCAAAATGCTCCCAAATGGCCAAAAAATATGCAAAAAATCGTCCCCAGGCTATTTTTGGACTATTTTTGAATATTCCTCCTCTAGAAGGACATGCCCGACTTAAAACGAGCACGAAGAACACGAGGGCGCCCTCCCCGAACCGACCTCGATGGGATGCTGTGGGGACCATGTTGGGATGTAACACCAGCGGAGCAGCCAGCACCAGCCTTCAGAGCAGCGGTGACAGGCAGTGAGCACCCGCACACACCCAACCAACCAACCAACCCACCCACCCACCCACCAACCAACCAAGCAACCAAGCAACCAAGCAACCAACCGAGAAAGCAAGCAAGCAAGCAAGCAAGCAACCAAGCAACCAACCGAGAAAGCAAGCAAGCAAGCAAGCAAGCAAGCAAGCAACCAACCAACCAAGGCGGACACACCAGACAGCCGTGGCAACGACGCCAATGCGACTGCATGGGCACTCCACCGAAATCTCTGGGTATCCTGCGATGTTGAAACGTAAAAGAAAAAACATCCAGCAACTAAAGAGGCCAATCGCACATATGTATATATATACACATGCACAGTTATGCAGATGCGGTTGTGTTCACGTAGCAAACTCATCACCATCATAATATCTCTCACCCGCTATGGGTATGTATAGATTGCCCTCGATTCCAACATTGCTTCTCAACTGAAACCTACTCAGGCCTTCATTCGACCTCATTCGTGTCATGGTCAATGGGGACGGTTGAAAATATAGTTCTTCCTCTGCGAACTAAGGACATTCGGGATGTATGTGTGCGGGTAGTGGGAAGGGGTGACAATCAGTTCGATAAAACTATGCACCATACCATGGCACTGACGCAAGCGATAAGGAACATATGCGGTCGACAACTAGACCCTCCACGAGACCATGGTGTCACAAGTAGTGCGAAGACCAGACCCACGCGTTTGCGCCGAGCAGCTGAGTAGCCAGCCGGTCAATTGTGCCAGCCTGTGACTATGATTACATATTTTGCAAATTTACACAGCGCGAGGCTTGTCATGCACTGCACTGTCACAAACTAGTCCCTGCAGCAGGGGCCGTCAGATAGGGCCAGGTGCCCATTCAATGAGCAGCCAGAAACCATGCACACATTGAGCTCGAATATGACCAACTAGCTGTAAAGCACCACCCGGGAGGGCGCGTTTGAATAGAGCAAGAAACAACATGCATGATTCGTCGGAGGTCTGCACAAATTTATTGGATCAACGCTGGACCCCCGTCCCTGGAGCGCGGAGCGCGCGCGCTTTTGGATGCCTCAAGATGGCCCCAACATGTCCCAGGAGAGGCCCAAGAGTGGCCCAAGAGGCCCCCCAAACGGCCCCAAGAGCGCCCAAGAGCGGTCCCGGAGCGCCCCAAGAGGGCACCCAAAGGCGATTCCGACGGCTCTGGGGGGAGGGGAGGTGGGAGATCGGAGACCCTCACCCCCTTTAAACGATGGCCTCAAAAATCCGCCATTGTGCCTCTGGCGCGAAGTGGAGTGCCCCAAGGCTCATGCAGCACTGAGAGGCTGTGTTGCTGCTGCTGCTGCTGCTGCGAGAACTGTAAGGTAAGTCTTCAAAGGACCAATCGTGTCCCATGCCTCTTCTGGGGTTTTCAGAGCTGGTTCCCGTGAGTTGTGGGGGGGGGTCCTGCGGGTCTTCTGGACGGTCCCAGAGAGACTCGATTTGCAACAAAATTGCGCGAACTCCTTTTGATGACCCCAAGACAGCCCAGGAGGCCACCAAGACGCCCCGAGAGGCCTCCTAAGAGGGCCCCAAGAAGCAAAACGCTGCTGTTGTTTCCTTTGGTGCTTGAAAGATTTGGGTCTTCTCGCGATTTCGGCCTCCCGTCGCTCCAAGACGACCCAAGAGGCCCCAAAAGATCGCCCCAAGACGAACTCAGAGGCCCCCAAGAGGGCCCCAAGACGGCTCAAGAGGGCCCCAAGACGGCCCGAGGGACCCAAAGACAGCTCCAAAAGGGATCCCAGATGGGGAACCCGAACGGACTTTCCGAGCCATCGGCTCCGACGGGCCCCCAGGGGGACCAAAGAGGCCCCCAAGAGGCCCCCCACGAGGCCCCAAGAGGCCACCAAGAGGCCTCTTACGAGGCCCCAAGAGGCCTCCAAGAGGCTTCCAAGAGGCTCCAAAGCTGCCCCCAAGAGGCCCCCGAGAGCGCTCCGACGTGACCGCAAGAAGTATCCCTGATAACCCTGACCCACAACTCAGGCACGATGGCGGGATGGGCCGAAGGCCATTCGATACGCCGCCCCCTGTTGGCTTGCCACAGGGGTGCCCGGCGTGCAGGACGTTCTGGAAAGGTTGTGGGTTCTTTTAGACCCCCCCCTGGGCCTTCGGCAGAGCTCTCTGGCTGCCTGCCTCGTGTGCTTTTCCGCTTCAGATGGCTTCAAAATGGCCTCCAAGGTGGTCAAGATGCCTCCAAGACGGCCGAGATGGCCCCAAGATAAGCCAAGATAGCCCCAAGATGACCTCCAAGGCGGCCCGAAGATGCATGCAAGACCGCGAAGGTGACGGCCGAAGAAGCGCCCAAGAGGCGCCTCAGACGGCCCACGAGGCCTCCAGGAAGGGCCGAGCCGGCCAAAATCATGTATTGTCCTTGGGTGTTTGAAGGTTTCTGGGTTTGCATGTTTTCGGTTCTCCGAGGGCCCATCATTGCCCAAGAGGCCCCAAGATCGCCTCAGATCGCCTGAGAGGCCTTGAAGATGGCCCCACGACGGCCAAGGAGGCCTCCAAAACGGCCCCTGGAGGGCCGCAAGACGGCTCAAGAGGCCTCCGAGACGCTGGAGATGGCCTCTAAGACGGCTCTTAAGCGCCCCATACGAGCCCCAAAAGCCGCAAGATGTCTCCACAAGGCGGCCCAAGATGCACCCAAGACAGTCAGTTTAAGATGGCATCAAGATAGCCCAAGACGGCCCAAGAGGCTCCCAAGAGGCCTCCAAGGCGGCTGTGAAGCGCCCTAAGAGGCCACAAGATGGCCCTGACAGGCCCCCAAGAGGGCTTTCCACGGCGTCAGGCGAATCAGAGCGATTTAAGACCGCCACAAAGTCACCCAAAAGGCCTCTAAAGACGATCAAGAAGCCAAGAAGGCCTCCACAAGGTGTCCCGAAGGCCCCCAGGAAACTCCGACGAGGCTGCCAAAATGACCCAAGAGGCTCCCAAGAGATTTCCTCATCTTCCTCCTCGTCATTCTTTCTCCCTCTCCGCGCTCCTTCTTCCTCCACCCGCGCGTTGCGCAAAGAGTTTCCGCAATGGTTGGGGGAACGCGTGGTCCAATAACCCGGCCAAGCTTTGTCCAACCGTTTGCGACTCCCCTCTCTCTGTGGCGAGTCCTGAAAAGCAGGAGGCCTCCTCCCTTTTCGTCCTTAGTTTCCGTCTCTTCCTCCTCTTCCTCATTCGTCGGCGCGTCGCGATCCTCTTTCTCATCATCCGCCAAACATGCCCCGAAATACTTCCAGACCAGCCGCGGAAGTTCGCCATCTCCAAAGAGGCTCCGAAAAGTCCCTCTGGAGGCTGTAACACCAAAGATTCCAAACATATTTCCGCAGCGAGGGATACGGACGTAATGCATGAGGAGGGCCTCGGACGCCTGACCAAAATGGCTTGGGGAAACACGTAGTCCACTACCTTGGCCAGACGGTGGTCCAACGTTTGACCTAAAGTCTGAATACCAGCAATCGTAAAATAGAAGCAGTATAAATTGCATTTCTGTGTGAAAAAAAACGCATCTCTTCTGCGACCAGCCTTCATGTTTAGGCGAGCCTTAACGAAAGACGGTCCCGGGATGCCCCAAAGAACGATAAACGAGACCAGCTCGGATTCCTCTTTGTGCTCACTCTCGCCCACGTGCTCCCCGAAGGCTTTCCAGACCGACTCGGGGAACACGCGGTCCGACAGCGTGGCCAAACTCTGGCCAAATTTCGGCCGCATAGGCGCTTCCAAAAAGGCAGGGGGCGGCGGTGGTTCGCCGCAGGCGCCTTCCGATAACCCCTAAGAGGCCCCCCCCGGCCCTCGAGCCGCCCCTGAGAGGGCTCCAAGAGGGGCCCAAGAGGGCCCCATGACCCCCAAAAAAGACCCCAAGAGGACCCCAAGATCCAGCCAAGAGTCCCAGGAGGATTCCACGAGGCGATTCGAGAGCTCTGTCCTCGCCCTCGTTGTCCCCCTGTTTCTCCACATCCTCGTCCTCGTCTTTACCCTCATCGTGGTCCGTTTCCTTTTCCTCCTTTTCCTCGTCGTCGTGGTGGTGGTCGTCGTCGTCCTCCTCATCATCATCATCCTTCCCTCGCCCCCCCGCGGGCCCCAGGGATGCCGATGTATCCGTTGCTCCCAAAGATGTATCAGTTCACCCTGGTTGCCCACGCTGTTTCACTGCATGTGTCTCGTCGTCTCTTTCCCCGTCGACTCTCATGGGCAGGGTTTGTGACAGGGCTGGTGGGGATACACAAAGCGTGAAACATAACACAAAGCGCACATGCGCGCACATATGTCGAATTCATACCAACCACACCAGCTGTGCAAACATCCGATGCTAGAAACGAAAACTTTTAGGCGTTTGATGGTACATATTGCAGATATTATGGCCGCGCGCTTTTGCTGGAATCATGAGAAGACCGTGTGAGGTTAGCAAGATTTACCGAAACCCACATTTTCATCTCACCACGCGGTGCATCCGCGTTGCCCTAGCACGCGCCCAGTGCATGAACCCATACCAAACAAGTGGCACGCGCGCCCTGGCTCTTGCACAATCAGGCATCGAAAGACGGAGGGAGGCCGGGGGGAACACGAACGACGAACGAAGGACGAACGAAGGACGAAGGCACGATATAGCGGGACGAGAAATCTCAAGACGCCCCGACAAGCCCGCGTGGGCACTCCGAGAGGGCCGACTGGGGAGACTGGGGGGGGGAGAACAGGGCCCCAATAGGCGCCCAAGAGGCTTTCCAAGACGCACTCGAAGCGCTCCATAAGGCCTTTTCAGAGGCCCCCCCAAAAATGTCCCAAGAGAGTCTGGCAGTTTTGCCAGGCGCGGAGGCTGAGGGGGGACGCCAGGGGAACGAGCCTGCTGCATGGCAGATGTCGACAATACGGGAGTCATCCGCTCTCCCGTCCTGCTCCTCCCTGTGCTGATCCTCCCTTGTCCTCCTCCCCTTCTGCTTCTCCGCCGTCCTCCTCCTTCGCCTCGTCTTTCTCCTCTTGGCTGGGTCGCGTCGTTTTACTCCGCGGCCCCAAGGCCCGCAAACGGCCCCGCCCCTGGGCTGAATTATGGAGTAGTTCGGGCCCAGACGTTGCGTTGCGCTGGGGCGACGGCGCCTCCAGGGCCAGGGGGGCTGCGCCTCTGGGGTCAGGAAGGCTGGGGTCTCCCCAGGGCCAGAGGGGGGCTGGGGCGGGGGCCAGGGGCGACCCACGAACCACGAACCACGACGAAAATCAAGGGCTCTGGGGCCCAGGGGCTGGGGCTCCAGGGCCAGAGGGGGTTAAGCCTCGACCCAGGGCAAGAGGGGGGGCGGGGTTGGTGCGGGGGCCAGCCTCAGGGCCAGGGACGAACGAACCACGAACCACGACAAAAATAATGGGCTGCGTGTCCTGGGGGGCTGGTGCTCTGGAGCCAGGGGGGCTGTGGCCTGCCTCGACCAAGGGGGAAGGGGGGAGGGGGGCGAGGTGGCTGGGGCGCCGACCCAGGGCCAGAGGGGGGGCTGGGGCGGGGGCCAGGGCCAGGGACGAACCATGAACAAGGGGGTTGGGGCTTCGGCCCAGGGCCAGAGGGGGGCTGGGGTGGGAGCACCAGGAACCACGAACCACGACGAAAATCAAGGGCTCTGGGGCCGGGTGGCTGGTGCTCTGGGGCCCGGGGGGCTGGGGCCTCGACCCAGAGCTCGAGACAGAGGGGGGGGCGAGGGGGCTGGGGCCTCCACCCACAGGGCCAGGGGCTGGGGCGGAGGCCAAGGCCAGGGACGAACCACGAACGAACCACGACGAAAATGAAAAGCTCCGGTGGTGCTCCGGGGCCAGGGCGGCTGGAGCCTCGACCCAGGGCTAGAGCCAAGGGGGGGGCGGGGGCCAGGGCCAGGGACGAACCACGAACGAACGAACCGCGACGAAAATGAAAGGCTCTGGGGCCTGGGGGCGGATGCTCCGGGGCCAGGCGGGCTGAGGCCTCCACCCAGGGCTCGAGCCAGGGGGGGGGGGCCGGGGCCAGGGCCAGGGACGAACCACGAACGAACGCACCACTACGAAAATAAAAAGCTCCGGGGCGAAGGAGGCTGGTGCTCCGGGGCCAGGGGGGCTGCGGCCTCGACCCAGGGCTCGAGCCAGGGGAGGGGGCGGGGACCAGGGCCAGGGACGAACCACGAACGAACGAACCACGACGAAAATAAAGAGGTCCGAGCTCTAGAGCACAGCTGTGCAAGAGAATAACACCATATCGGCCACACGCGCGCGCCGCCACGCGCACGTGTCCAATCTACTCAAAAGAACTGGTGCTCGAAGCACTCCAAGCAGACAGGGTTCTGCATGGAGCCCGGCGAAGGACCCAACCAGATGTAGCTGTTAGTAACGCAGTTGTGGGCATCGCCTTCGGCGGAGCTCCCTATGGGGCCACAAGGTGTGTAAAGGGGTGGGGTGTGCCGAAATTGGTGGGGGGGGGGGGGGGACGCACGCGAACACCGCCACAGGGGGCTTCGGTGGAGCTCCCTACAAGTCCACGAAACGTGTGGGGGTTTGCCGACATGGGTGGGGGAGACGCATACGAACACCGCCACCGGGACCTTCGGTGGAGCCCCCTGTGGCCACGAAACGTGTGAGGGTTTGCCAACATCGGGGTGGGGGGAGACGCATGCGAACAACGCCTCCAGGGCCTTCGGTGGAACTTCCGATGGGGCCGCGAAACGTGCGAAGGGTGTGCCGACACGGGTGGGTGAGACGCACGCGAGCACAACCAGTGGGGCCTTCAGTGGAGCCCCATTTATGGGCCCACGGAACGAGTGAGGAGTGTACCGAATTTCATTTGGGAGGCGCATGCGAAATCCGCTACTGGGCCTTCGCTGCAGCTACTCATGGAGCCACGAAGCGTGTAAAATGGTGTGCCGACGTGAGTGGGGGAGACGCACGCGAACACCGCCACTGTGGCCCTCGGTGGAGCTCCCTGTGAGGCCACGAAACGTGTGAGGGGTGTGCCAACATGGGTAAGGGAGACGCACACGAACACCGCTACTAGGACCCTCCGGGGCCACGAAACGTGTGAGGAGTGTGCCGAAATGGGCTGGGGAGACGCATGCGAACACCGGCACCTGGGCCTTCGCTGGAGCTGCCCATGGGGACACAAAAACTGTGGGTGGGGTGCCAAAATGGGGGGGGGGAGGCGCATGCAAACACCGCCACTGGGGCCCTCGGTGGAGCTCCCTGTGAGGCCACGGAACGTATGAGGGGTTTGCCGAAAAGGGCGGGGGGAGTCGCATGCGACCACCGCCACTGGGGCACTCGGTGAAGCTCCCTATGGGATACGAACCTTGTGAAGGGCGTGCTGAAATTCGACTGGTGCGGAAGGCAGAGGCAGGGATGGGAAGAGGGAGGGGGCAGCGGGAGGGAAAAAAGGAGACGCGGGGCACTGTTTTTCGAACGAGGTCCCAACACCGCAGGATGGTTGGGGAAAACATAAGAAACACCGATTGCGATTCAACCGAAAACTTGCAAGGTCTCTCGGTTTCCGCGCGCGCGCGCGCACTTGCTCACCATCACCCTCAGCAGTGCCACCGCATCGCCACCGTTATCGTCATCACCAGTCACCGCCATTGCCGCCGTCATCGAGCAATCACCCTCATCACCGACGCGTGAATATCATTAACGTCATCGTCGTGACCTGCATCGGCGCCGTCATTGGTATTGCCGTCGTCACCGTCATCATCGCCACCACCATCGCTACTCTCATCGTCGTTGCCGCCGCCGTCGACATCATCATGATTCCAAACCCACTCGAGTCAACGCCAGCGCGGCCTGTGAGGTGCTGGGAGGTTCCCATCGGTAGGCGCAAACACGGCCCCGTCGATTGTGCCAAACCAGCTGGTCGCTCTGCGCGCGAGATTGAGCGCGCTAGCGCAGCCGCAGAAATGCGCCAGCTATTGCAAAGTGGTCACCGCGGCCGCATGGGTTGTGCAAAACGAGTTGCGGGTGGAAGGGTGGGATGATTGCGCGAGCAGCGGAGTTGACGACTTCAAGTTCTGCGAGGTAGATGGCACCGCATAGAACACTCCACATGGCTTATGTACTCGAGGTGCGATAACCTGGTCCTGGTAGTTATTGGTTCTTGTTCCTGGCAGTAATTGGTTCTTGCTCCTGCACTGAAGAAATCCACCCGATGACCGTTCCGGCCGCAAGAGCTCACGCACGATGGCGGAAGAACATCTGCAAGAAACTGCCTGCGCAACTATCACCCCCCTATGTCGCTGCCGCTCAGCCCCTTGATCTCCTCCACTGGACGCAGGGAGTCCGCGTAGATGTGCACGTGCGAGAAGCGGACAGACGCGGGCCGCACGGCGGGGGGGGACGGCATCTCCTGCCCTCCAGGCTCCTGTGATCACCAGCGCCGACGGGCTTCTCCCTGCGCCTGCTCATGTTCCCTCTCGTTTTCGTGTCCTCCTCCCTGCCTCCTCCCCCTCCACGCCGCATCCTCGTCTTCCTCGTCCTCGTCCGCGTCCTCGTCCTCCTCCTCCTCCTCCTCCTCCTCCTCCTCCTCCTCCTCCTCCTCCTCCTCCTCCTGTTTTCGCCTCCTCCTCTTGGCACTTTTCCTCCCAGGCTCCTCCTCAGGGTCCTCCTCCTCATCCCCCACCTCAGTCTCCTCATCCGCCGCCTCCTCCTCTGTCGGCGTGTGGAAGACGCTGTTCTGTTTGACTCGTCGTCGTCGTCGTCGTCGTCGTCGTGGTCGTCGTGGTCGTCGTCGTCGTCGTCATCGTCGTCGTCGCGTTTGCCCGCGTTTGACCTCCCTTTCCCTGGGCCCGTCGCCGCTCCCCTTCCTTTCACTGGCCCCCCCTCGTCGCCGCTCCCCCCCTTGTTCTGGGCCCTCCTCCTCAAGCGAGCCAGCCAACGCGAAACCAAACCGAAATTAAGGAACTTCGTAGTTGAGCCAGAGGGAAGCCCCTTCCCTTTGATCCCTTTCCCCGCCAGGGGGGGAGGGGGGGGTCCGGGGGGGGGGAGGGGTCCCGGGGGGGGTCACAGGGTCAGAATACCATCCTCCCAGGGGGGTCTTGGGGCCGAAAAAAAAAAGCAAGACAGCCCAAAATGCCCCCACGACGGTCCAAGAGGCCCACCGGCATCGCCGAACAATTGGTCCAAGACGCCAAAGATGGCCTCCTGACAGCCCAAGCTGCTTCCAAGACGCTCGAAGGGACCTCCAAGAGCACACCAAGAAGGCCCCGTCGGCTTCCCGACGCCCCCAGACGGCCCAAGACGGCCCAAGATGCCCCCAAGATCGGCACAAGAGGCCCCCAAGAGGCCTCCAAGACGGCTCCAAAACGACCCTAGAGGGCCACAAGACGGCCTTCCAGATGGCCCAAAAGGCCACCAAAACGGCTCCAAGAGGGTGCCAGCACGACCCCCGAACGAACATGTCGAGCCCTCGGCCCCGAGAAGCTCCCAGGAGGCCCCAAGAGGACCCAAAGACGCCCCCACGAGGCCCCAAGAGGCCCCCAAGAGGCCCCCAGGAAGAAGCCCGAAGGGACCCCCAAGAGGCCCCAAAAGGCCGCCAAGATGCTCCCAAAAGGCTCCAAAACTGCCCCCCAGAGGCCTACGAGCGCGCTCCGAAGAGGCCCCACGAAGCATCGCTGAGGACTCTGGCCCACGTCAGCGTCGTCGTCGCCGCCGACGCCGCCGTCGTGGTCGTCGTCCCCCTTCCGGGTCGGCGGCACCGGCCGTAAGGCCTTCCCAATCCAGACGGGGGTAGGTCAGAGATCTCCGAAGGCTGCCGGGTCTGGAGGATGCATCCAGCGCCGCGGCCGCTTCGGAACAGTCTGGAACGCTCCCGACGGATTCCTCCTCGCCCCGAGCCTGCCTGGCTCGAGGACGGGCCCGCCCCCGTGAAGAATCAATGCGCTCCGTTGCCAAATCGGTTTTGCACTGGGACCTTCCTCGATCCATGGATCTTGCGCCAACGTGCCAGATCCGATGCATGGACTCCTAGTCAGCGTTAGGGCGTGCCCGACTGGTCGGCGGCGAAATCCGAACCTCGCCGATCAACGACTCAGGCAACTCGACGGGCGGCGGGGGTTAGGGCTCGGATTTGTCGCTGAAAGCATGGCGAACATTGAACCCTACCCCCGGCCTCACATCGACTTAAGAGAATCGATGGTTGGTAGGGTTAGGTCGGGCATGTCCTCCTACAGGCGGGTTTTGGACGACAAATAAGAGGTACCTCAAAAATGTGCAAACATTGCCAAATCGTATAAAAAAAAACAATCCCCAGACTATGTTTTGACGGTTTGGGAATGTTCCTCCTGTAGAGGGACGTGCCCGATTTCATGGCAGGACGAGGATGCCACCCAACTGACAACCCCATCCCCCGCGCCAGCGCGGCCGCTGCAGCCCCTGGGGCGCGTGGGCCACTGCGTTCCCGGATGGGCGCGGGGCGGACGAAGCCTGGCGGACGCCCCGCGGCGGCGGAGGGGGGCGGGGGCCAAGAGGGGGCGCGCTGGCTTGGAGGGGAGGAGGCACGGAGAGAAGGAAGGGGAAGAGGACCGAGACAGGAGTCTTCTCCCTCTTGCGCCCTCTCCTGGACGAGCCAGGGGGCGCCGATGCAGCAGCGACGTCCTCTGCAGGAGGGTCGATGCACGAACTGCCATTTTCCTTGATGCGTGTCTCCCCCCACGCGCACGTTGCAGGATACTCGGAAGCGAAACGAGGACAGGATGAGAGGAGGAGGAGCAGGAGAAGGGAGAGGAGGAGCAGGAATAGCGCGCTCGCCAAGAGGGGGGGAGCACGGAGGCGGAGGTCCAGATGACACGCCGGGTGCGCCCTGCCGAGAGGACACTCTGCTCAGCGCCGCGACGCACCTGGGAACTCTCACACATGTGAAAGCCTATCAGATTGTGATACACGCAGTTCTCCAGCAATTGTGTGATGAGGCGCATCGTTGTCTAAAGCCATTCAGGGCTCATTCGGTGAAGTGTCCTGGTGGGGATAAGTTTCTGAGATCTCGCCCAGGGTAGGCGTTTATGTCTCTCGGGGCAACTTTGACATGCTGACTCTAGCGCCGTGCATCATGACACACATCCGCCACCGTGCCCCCTGGCACGTTGAGAGGAGGAGGAGGAGGAGGCGGAGGAGGAGGAGGCGGAGGAGGAGGAGACTGCCTGGCAGGGTGTCTGTAATCTTCTAAGGGGCCCCCCTACTAGGGAAGCGCCTAGCTGCGTGCACCGCCCCCTCTTCCCGAGGCCCTGTCGGCGCCCAGACACGTCCCAGGCGCTTCCCAAGGCGTCCAAGATGCCCAGGATGGCTTCCAAGACGGACCTGGGAGGCCACCACAGCCGCCAAGATGGCCGAAGAGCGATCCGAGACGGCCCAAGAGGTCACAAAGAAGCCTCTAGAGCGCTCCAAGAGGATTCCCAAGAGGGCCCAAAGAAGCAACAATCATGGATTATCACTATGTTTGACCATGGCTGTTTCACCTTATCGCCTTTTTCGATCTCCCGAAGGTCCAAAACGGCCCCAGGGGCCCCCAAAACCCAAGAAGGCCCAAGAGGCCCTCAAGTGGATCCGAGGATGACCCAAGATGCACACAAGACAGCCAAAGAGAGCCCTGAGACGGCCCCAAGAGGAGCCTAAGAGGGGGAACACAAATCGATAATGCCAGCCTTCCGCCCGAAGAGGCCCCCAGGAGACCCCAAGAGGGCTCTAAGGAGCCCCAAGAGCCCGGCCTCCAAGAGGCCCCCAGACGGCCCCCATGGGCCTCAACACTGCTCCCCGAGAGGGTTACCACGGTACCTCAACGAGCATCAGCACCAGCATCATCATCATCATCATCATCATCAGCAGCAGCAGCAGCAGCATCACCATCATCATCATCACAACCATCATCATCATCATCATCATAATCATCATCACCACCACCACCACCATCACCATCACCACCATCATCATCATCATCAGCAGCAGCAGCACCACCACCATCATCATAATAAGCATCATCATCAGCATCATCATCACCATCATCATCGTCTTCATCATTACCATCACCACCAACACCACCACCACCACCCCCACTACCTGCACCATCATCATCATCATCATCAGCAGCAGCAGCAGCACCAGCATCAGCATCAGCATCTTCATCATCGTCATCGTCATCCTCATCATCAGCATCCTCATCACCACCATCATCATCCTCATCACCATCACCATCACCATCACCATCACCATCGTCATCACCCTCGTCACCAGTATCACCATCATAATCATCATCATCATAATCATCATCATCATCATCCTCGTCATCATCATCATCAATCATCAAAATCATCATCATCATCTTCATTACCATCACCATCACCATCACCATCACCGTCCTCGTCATCATCCTCATCATTATTGTTACCATGAGGCTCAGCCCTTGCAAATACGGCCTCCGGTGCCCCCTCGAAGGCGAGCCGCCGAGCACGCTGGGCTGGCACGGTGGCGGGACTTGCCGCAAAGAACAAGTCAATGTACCGAGGGTGTGGGATTTATGTGTTGAATGGCACGCGGGCAGACAAGAGCGGACCGTCTTGAAATGATCAATGTTCCTGTTGCTGTTGAAGTTGATGTTAAAGTTGTAGTTGTAGTTGTAGTTGTTGTTGTTGTTGATGTGGTTGTTGCTGCTGTTGGCGGTGGCGGTGGCGTTGTTATCGTCGTTGTTGTTGTTGTTGATGAGTCGAATGTTGATGTTGATGTTGATGTTGTTGTTATTGTTGTTGTTGCTTCTAAGTTCTTATTTCTCAAGAACATTGATTGTTGATCCCCCCTGCGCGGTAACCTTTGCATTTTTTTCCATGAAAATGCTTATCCCGGGGCTCGCACCGTTTTTTAAACAGGGAAAATGAAGTGTCACCAAACTGCGCCCCAGGCCCCAGGTTTACAACAACGACGGTTCTCGCCGGATGCTTCCTCACCATGTATTCCCAAGTCGCGCTCTCGCGCGGGGGGACGTCACAGTTTACACAAGAATCGCACTCTCGCGTGGGACGTCCTTTCAGTGTTCTCAGCCGCCGCGCCCTCGCCACTCAGGAACCACGCTCTCCTTGTGGATTCTCCACGACTTATTCGGGAATCGCGCTATCGCTCGAGACTTCCTCGCGATTCATGCAGGACTCACGCTTTAGCAAACCGACCTGGCCGTCTGGGCCCGCCTTCCCGACCCGCCCGTTAGGGTCTACCCGCCCGATCTGCCCGTCTGGTTCTGCTCCTAGCCCCCCTCCTGCTATTCTCTCTCGTGCTCTATCCGCCTCCCTCCCCCTTGTCCCTTTCTTCCATCCATCCTCTCTTCAGGGGCTGCACGAAACTCACGTTGCAGGTAAATAAGATATACCCTTAAGGGGGTACGCTCGAAGACGAAAAGAGCGGGTATCGAGGGTTGGGAATATACGTGGTGAACGGCAAGCGGGCAGATAAGAACGAACAATATTAAAACGATTGGTGTTGGTATTGCTGATGCTATTGTTGTTGTTGCTGTTGCTGCTGCTGCTGGTGTTGCTGTTGTTGGTGTTGTGAGTGTTGTGATTGGTGTTGGTGTAGTTGTAGTTGATTTTGTTGTTGCTGTTGTTGTTGTTGCTGGTGTTGTTGCTGTTGTTGTTGTTGGAGGGCCGGTTTGGGCAGTACCCCGAAACGCTCGAGCGTGAGCTTCAAGTACAAAGGGAATGCGGCCAGGGCCGAGGCGAGAGCGCCAAGGGACCTGTAGGGGGTCAGCCGCAATAATTTGTTAACGAATGAACACTCTACAAGAACAGCATCAACGGTTCTCGCCGGACACTTCCTCACGGTGTATTCCCAAGTCGCGCTCTCGCGCGGGACGTCGTCGCAATGAAACAAGGAATCCCGCTCCCGCGTGGGACCTCCCTCCAGTCTTTTGAAGCGCCGCGCCCTCGACACTCAGGGATCACGCTCTTGCTGTGGGCGTCCTCGCGATTTACGTGGGAATCGCGCTACCGCTCGAGAATTCCCCGCGATACATGCAAGCGTAACAGCTTAGCGATCCGCCCGCTCGACGCAGCGGATGTCTGGGCCTGCCCGCCCGACCCGCTGGTTATGAGGTCCGCCCGCCCGACCCGTCCGTCCAGCTCTGCCGCTTGCCTTCCTGCTCCTAACCCCCCCTCCATAAGCTCGTTCGTGTTCCATCCTTCTCCCTCCCCTTTGCCCCTTCCCTCCGGGACTGGGCGGGCTCACTCTTCCAGCAGGCCCAGCCCCTGCCCTGGTCCTCCTCCTTTTGCCTCTTACGGGGTGGAGTCCTAGCGACTCCCTGCTCCGACGGGCGACGAAAGTGGTACAATTGCGCCACCCCGCCTGAGCACACAGCAAGCTCGGGCACGGACCAGAACCCAAGCCAAGCCGACGTTGCGCGCGCTCTTCCTCTGTTTTTAGGGGCTACGCAAAATGCTCGTGACAGGTAGGGAAGATCCTTCCCAAAAGGGGCACAATCGAACACGAAGCGGGCGGGTATCAGCTAGTGACACGCAAGCACATCAGAGCGAACAATCTTACAATGATTGAATTGCAACCAATCATAATTATTGGACCCCCATATCCGCCCGGGCGCTCTCGACACGGCGGTGGCTGCATTTCCTTTGAAATTGAAGCTCACGCTCGAGCGTTTCGGGGTGCCGCCCACACCGGCCCCCCAACAACAACGACGTTCCCGTGCGATTGAGAGCCCGAGATTCAGGAAGGGCGCTCTCGCATGAGACTTCCTCGCACTCTAGCACCACATGGGAGTCCTTCAGAGCAGACTTGCCGCTACTTGCGGGTGCCAGACCATATCAAAAGCCCGACGGAGACGCCATATAGACCGCCGCCGGATAGGTAGTCTACGCCCAAGAACCAGCTCGACACCCAAGAAGTCCGTATCGTTTGGCCATGGGTGGCCTCGGTTCGCCTGGGAAGGCGACCGAACTTCTTACAATAATCAGTTGTCCATGTGTCCGCTTGCTATCTGACTGACGACGGCAAAAGGAGGGAGAGCGCGGGCAACAGCGCGCGCGCGCGTCCTTTTCCTATTCACCTCGTGAGCCACGAAACCTCGAAGCGCGATGCCCTCCTCATCATCTTTCTTCGGGAGGACGAAGGAGGGAAGGCAGGAGTGGAGAGGGGAAGGCCCGGAATGGTCCCACGGGGCCGCCCCACAAAACCCAAAGCGGGGTAAAACACATGAGGAAAATGACAAAAACCGGGGAAGGGGTAGGAGCGGGGAAGCAGCAAGGCGCGGCACCGCGAACTCCTGGAAACCCACGATGTCTGGGCACTTCCACTGAGCCCCCCCGCGGGGCCCCAAAACTCTCGGGCTCCACCCATCCCCAACTCCACCTTCTCGCTTTTCTCTGCCCCATGTGTCCACTCCTGAGCCGCCAACTCTTCCGCCTGCTTTTCCTCATCATTATCGTGCTCGCTCTCCTCCTCCTCCTCCTCCTCCTCCTCCTCCTCCTCCTCCTCTTCTTATTTTTATTATTCGTCTTCTTCTGCTTCTTATTATTCTTATTCGTAATATTATCAGTATTCTTATTATTACTATTATTACTGTTATTAGTATTATTGTTATTATTCCTCTTATTATTAATCTTCTTACTTAGTATTATTTGTTTGTCCTCCTCCTCCTCCTCCTCCTCCTCCTCCTCCTCCTCCTCCTCCTCCATCCTCCTCTTCCTCCTTTCCTCTTGCTGGCACGTCGCTGACGCGGCCTCGTCTTTCTGCTAGCACTGATACTGTTATCCCCCCCTCCTCCTTTACATCCCCTCACCCCCCATCCCCACCCCCACTGGCACGACCCCAGGCGCCGGCACAGACCGAACTGGCATCCTTGACTCGCGGCAGCCTTGCCGCGTGACAGCACTGGTTCGCAACAGCCGGACCCGCATACCTCTGGGCACCGCACCCCGCGACGGCGCGACGCGAGACGACCTCCGCGCCATTGCGCCCCACCGCCGCTCCACTGGAGGAGGGCAGCCGCTCTGGCCCAGACCGCGACGCGCGAAGCACGACTATCTTCGGGCCCCCGCAGGCGACCCAGGCAACCCTGACTCGGCGAGCCCAGGAGGATTGCAGAGGGGGCGGGCCTTCGCAGAAGGCTTCAAAGGCCACCGGCCTTGTGAGAAACTGCCTGAGTCTCCTTCGAGGCCACGGCAGGCTTCTCCGCAAGCCGGAAGGCGTTCTCTCAGAAGCCCCGCCGCCATCTGCTGCGACGACGACCGCGACCACGACCACGACCACGACCACGACCACGACCACGACCACGACCACGACCACGACCACGACCACGACGACGACCACGACCACGACCACGACGACGACGACGACGACGACGACGACGACGACGACGACGACGACGACGACGACGACGACGGCGACCGCAGCGGCGGCGGCAGCTGCGACCATGGCTGCGAGTGCGAGAACGAGCGGGGGGCGCGGCGCCTGCGAGCGGAGGGCAGGCGCCGTAGGCGAGCAGGCCGAGCAGGAGGGGGGCGGCGGGCGGGCCCCGCCGGGCCCTCATGAGAGGCCCTGAGCCGGCCGGCGGCTGCCGCCGTCGCCCTCGCGGCGCAGCAGCGGGCTGGCTGGGAGCCTCTCGAGACCGCCCCCCAGAGCCCGACCCCGAGCCGCACTCCGCCCAAAGGCGCTTCCCGCGGGCCCGCGGTTTCCGTCGCCCTGCCGGTCATCGCCGCTGGCGCCTCAGGAGGAAACCTCTCGTCCTGCGCAGGTAGCGTGTCGTGGCGGCGGCCCCGGCGACACGCTACAGTCAAGCCACTACCAGAAGGAGCGCTAAACAAGAAATGAAGCCCGTGTTGAGCCCCCCACGGCACCTGGAAGCACAAGGAGCGCCAGCGAGCCCCTGCCGAACCCGAACAGCTCCTTATGCTCTGCATGCTCTGCAAGCGGATAGGGTGTCGCTCCGCTCCGCGGGACGGGAGGCTGCGAAAAGTTCGGGACGTTGACGCTTGGAGACTGGGACGTGCTTAGCGTGTCGCACAGAAGCGTGGTGGCCCATAACTGGCGGCGCCAAACGATGAGCAAAAGTTCCCAACCGTACGTCCTACGCGGATACCTCTATAATAAATACATGAATGTGTATGAACAGTTGCATGCGTACGTACATGTATGCAAATAGGTGAGGTAGCAATGTGCAGATATCAATGTTTACGTATCGATGTGTGTATGTATGGATGTATGTAAGTATGTATTGTTTATGTGTGTATGTATGTATGTATGTGTGGTTGCATGTAGGTATGTATGTATGTATGCGTGTGTACATGTGTATATATACACATAAGTAGATACAGGCATACATACATACATACATACATACATACATACATACATACATGCATGCATACATAAAAAAATATTTACGTACACACATACATACATACATACATACATACATACATACATACATACATACATACATGCATGCATACATGCATGCATGCATGCATGCATGCATGCATACCTACATACCTTACAATGCATCACATCACGCTACCTTCCATTGCAATACAACGCATTACATTACATTCCATTACATTACAATATATTATAATACCTTACAGCGCATTACACTGCAATTCATTAAATTACATTACATTACATGCATACACTACATGCATACATGCATACACACATACACACACATACATACATCCATGCATACATCCATACATACATACACAAACATGTCTGCAGACATACATGCATGCGTACATACAAACATTCATACACAAAAGTGTTTACGTGTGTATCATGAACTCATGTATATGTATATGTATAGCCATGGCATGTCAATGCATATCCAGATGTATCCATGTATACTGCGAAGCATGTAGAAGGCCACGAAAACTGCCAGCCCCGAGCCAGCCAACACGCGTGCGACTTGATATGGATCCGCGCGAGCCCACGCGCTCTACCTTGACACTGGGAGGAGCACTGGGAGGACAAAAAATACCAATGCGGCTGCCCAAGGGTGCGATCTGGCCAGGATTTCGGGGCAAATCCGGACGTGGCGACGAGGGCCCCCCCCAGAGTCACACAACGACGAGCATGAGGGCAGGATGCTGGCATCGATACTGGTACCATCTCCGCGAAACACTGCAACAATCGTGAGAGGCACGTCAAACGCGCGTTAATGCGAAACACGGCTTCTAATTACTATACATATATATATACTCACATATATACTAAAATCATCGTGCGTTTCGTGCGCGCTCAAGTTCTAGCTAGGCTTGATGGGCTAAATCACGGAATATCATTCCTGCGCAAACCTCGGAACCGTATAGGAGGGGAACTGCGGAAACGCGGAAAGTATTAATTTCCGTGAGGTTTTCAACGATTTGAGGCCCTCAAAGGCTTCCTGGTTTCTTTTCTGGGAGCTCAGGGGGCCCTTAATTGTGGTCTGTTGTGCAAGAGTAGACAGGGGGCGAACCTGAAAAAAAAGGAATTGTGGATTCTCATTTGTTTCAAGTTGCCGTGCCTGGGTTGTGGGTTAGAAGCTTTCTGGTTACAGGCCACGGTCCGTTCGAATGCCTCTCGGGATCTGCGTGCAAAAACAAGTAGGTGGTGAGTTTGAAATAAAAAGAAATTAATTGTTTCAACTCATGGGGTCATGAGATCTCGATTTCTGCTGTTGTTTCAAGGGCAGCCGAAAGGACGCGAAGACGATCAAAGAGAGTGCCAAGACAGCGTCAGAGAGTTCAACCATTTTCCCGAAACATATTTGCATGTGACTCCGAAGTCTTGATGGGGCTCGAGGAAGATGATAGGGAGGAGTCCCAACTTGAAAAAAAAGGAATCTCTGGAATTCCTTCTTTTTCTTCCCAAGTTCCTCGGTCTTAGAGCGTCGGAAGCGGGAAAACGTGAGAAGGCGAAAAACGTCGACAAAAACCATTGGACATCAACGACTTTACCCTTCACAGGCTCTCTCGGGACGGCTCTCGGGCTATTTTGGGGGCCTCGCCGGGGCTTTTTGGGGGGCATCTCAAAGGTCTGGGGTGTTTGGAGGTCTCTGAGGGATTCCGGAGTCCTCTCGGAGGTCTCTGGAGGCCTCCTGCTTGGGCCTGTTCTGGAGAGGTCTGGAGCTGTCCTGGGCGCCTCTTCGGCAGTCTTGGGGCAGTCTTGGCCCGTCTTGGGACCGTCTTGGGGGCCTCTTGGGCGGTCTTGGGGCCGTCTTGGGGGCCTCTTGGACGGTCTTGGGGCGGTCTTGGGGGCCTCTTCGGCCGTGTTGGAGCGTTGTAAGCATGAAATGGTGAGAAGGCCAAAAACCTTGAACAAAAAAATCATGAAACTCAACGTCCAGGCGCTCTCGGGAGGCCTCTCGGAGCTCTCTTGAGGTCTCTTGGAGGCCTCCTGGGAGCCTGGAGAGCCGCCCGAAAGCTATCCTGGGTTGCTTGGGAGCGTCTTGGGCCTGTCTTGTACGTTCTGGGCGCTTCTTGGTGCCGTCTTGGGCTACCTTTGGGCATTTGGGGGGCTCCGTGGGAGGCCAGAAGCGCGGTACCGGAGCGTAACCCATATGTGATCGAGGTGGAGGACGCCCCGGGAGGGGCCTGGCCTATTTGTTTATATCATACATATACATACATACATACATACATACATACATACATACATACATACATACATACATACATACATACATACATACATACATACATACATACATACATACATACATACATACATACATACATACATACATACATACATAGAGAGAGATATGTGTGTGCGTCGCGTGTTTCACATGACTTTCCTAGACGAGACAAGAGGCCTAGCGGCTGCGTCGCTCTGCTGTTCAAATGGCATGGAGTGATAGAAGCCCACCCTTCTGCAGTCGCCCATGATGTGCCTGTTTTACACCACCACCACCACCATCAATTGGAGGGGGGAAGGAGGCGGAGGACGAGGAGGAGGACGAGGAGGAGGGCGAGGAGGAGGAGGAGGGCGAGGAGGAGGAGGAGGAGGAGGAGGAGGAGGAGGAGCAGGACCCCCTCCCCCTCCAACCTATGGTGGTGGTGGAAAACAGGCACACCAGCCCAACTTGGAGCAGAGGGCGGAGAAGCACTCTTTCTGCGCTGCAGACCGGCCCGGCGAAGCCTTCCGCCGCGGCCGCGCGCCAGGCCCCGCGCTTCAGAGCGCCGGGCGGGCGCCCAGGCAAGAGGGTGGAAACCGAGGAGGCGGCGGCGGCGGAGGGGGGGTCCAGAACGGGAGCCCCAACCGAACCCACAGGGACGTCGGGCCGGGCGAAAGGGGGGGATAGCAAAGGGGGGGGAGGAGAATCAGCTCACGTAGCTGACTTTCCCGGCGCCTCCCGGCGCCGGGAGGCGCCCCTGTCTCGAGGAATGGGCCTGGCGGCGGGGCCGAAACCAGCTGCATGCAGCAGATTTCGCAACCCCCCCTTTCCCTATCGCCCCCTTCTGTTCGGCCCGAACACGGGAGGGGCCGAATTGAGGTGCTCAGGGCACCGACACGGCCCCGAAGGGCCGAGGACCAGTCACCGAAAGGGTGCAGCCACCCACCAGGCCCATCCGGACGACGGGGGCGGGAGGACGAGTACAGAGGGAGAGCCCACTGCGTAAACATAAACTTTCGACGGTCCGCGCGGACGTGTTGGATCTGCGCTGGACCCAGAGGCGCCGCCACCAGGAGCCCAACGCAGATCCCAGAAATCCGCGCCGGCCGTCGAAATTTTGCGCCTGTGCAGTTTTTGTGTTTCTGCTTCGAGGGGACAGCAGAACAGAGGAGACGGCGGCGGAGGAAACGGGAGGAGCACAAGAGAGAAGGCGGAGGGAGACTGAGGAAGGAGGCGGCGGCGAAGGAGGAGAGGGATGGGGGGGGAAGGGCGACGAGGGGCGAGGAGGCGAGGCAGAGAGGCGCCCCAGACTCCAGGCTCTGTGCCGTGGGGCATGGCATGCCAGCGGCAAGGAGGGCCAAAACGGCCGAGGGCAGGAGGGAACAAGGAGAAGAAGGAGGAGGAGGTGGTTGGGCTGAGTTGACGAGCTCGGCAGCTGTCTAAGAAGGTGGGGCTGAGGGGTGGACGCGCGTAAGGAGGCCCCAAGATTCGATGCCTTGATTTGGCCGACACGGGGCCCCTGGAGCGCTGGACCCCTTGCCCCGTGGCTGGTTTTTCGGAGCCCCCGGGGGCCCAGTATCCGTTCTGGCTTTGTTGAAGGCGCTGGAGGTCGGGGGTCTGAGGGGTGGGCGCATCGGCGATGCATCGGCGATGCCGCGCGATCCTCCGACCCATCCAATTACTCCGACCGCATCTAGGAGGAGGAGGAGGAGGAGGAGGAGGAGGAGGAGGAGGAGGAGGAGGAGGAAGAGGAAGAGGAGGAGGAGGAGGAGGAGGAGGAGGAGGAGGAGGAGGAGGAGGAGGAGGAGGAGGAGGAGGAGGGGAGGAGGAGGAAGGGGGGGGCTGGGGCGAAAGGAGGTCGGAGTCCCTCAGAGGGCGCTCAGCAGGCTCAGCCGCCGGGACGAGGTGCCAGGCTGCATCTCCATCGCCGGCTGGTTCATGCGCGAGTCGGCGGCCTCGCCGCGGGGCGGGGAGGGAAAGGAGGACGGGAAGGACGGAGGAGGAAGGTAGAAGGCGGAGGAGGTGGGAGGCAGGAGGAAGAGGGAAGAGAGGGAGGAGGGGAAGAGGAGGTGGGAGGAGGAGGAGGAGGAGGAGGAGGAGGAGGAGGAGGAGGAGGAGGAGGAGAGAAGGAGAGGAGGAGGAGGAGGACCAGTGTAAACCCAAGACCCATCAAAGAGGTTGCCATAAACCCTACCTCCAAGCTCCCTGCTCACTGCGGGGAGAGCCCCGTTGGGAGACAACCGTCTGAGAGTTCTCAGGCGTGCCACGACACGATTCCTGGGACTTCCACCCCGCGAATCAGCATCTTGCCGTCGCTCGGACGTCCACTTTCCGCGCATCTTTCGGTTTCGTGCGTGTTTTTGTTTGCTCGATGGTCCGGGGTGGTCCTCGATGACTCTCGCCGAGAAAAAATGCACACGTCCGAGCGATGCCAAGACATTGCTGTTGCGACCTGACGATACAACATCGTGCCCGAACACAATGTCTGAGACGCCAACACCGCGAGTAAAGGTGTCGGTCGCGCCCTGGCAGTCCTAAATCGTTGAAGCAATTGTAAGCTGCTGATACGAATGTGCGCGGCGCAAAAGCGAGAACCACATGTTGAAAAGGAACCGCCCTCCATCCGTGAAATTCCTGCTAACTCTGAAAACGAATGTGCGCGGCGTTAAAGTGAAAACCATATTTTGAAAAGGACCCTCAATCCGTGAACAGATTGCACAGTCTAAGCTTAAGGATCATGAGTGGTGAGGAGGTCTCAGGCGAAACGCCTGGTTCGCCCTGCCGACCCGTCTCGGGGTGCGACAGGGGGGAGCCATTCATAAGGGATGGAGGAAGAGGAGGAAGCGGAGGCTGAGGCGAAGGAGGAGAGGAGGCGGAGGAGCGAGAGGAAGGGATGACGGAGGAGGAGGACAGCGAGGGAGAAGGAGGGAGGAGGAGAAGAAGCATGGGGAACAAGTGGAGGCGGAAGGAGGGTGAAGAGGAGCCAGATGAACATCAATAGGGAGAGGAGGAGGAGGAGGAGGAGGAGGAGGAGGAGGAGAAGAAGAGAAGGATGAGGAGGCGGAGGAGGACGAGGAGGAAGAGGAGGAGGAGGAGGACGGAGGAGGAGAGTGTCGCCTTAGACCATATACTTCTCCCCGCGCCTACCCGCGCCTAGGTTCACCCTATAGATGCTCAGCACTGCTTGGACACGCGGTCATGGTTTCTCCTCTAGCGTACCCCCTGGTACGCTGAGGAGCGGCAGAATGCAAATTGCTGTCTGGTAGGGCTTCTGAAAATATGTTCAGCCCCCCCCCTCTCGGCGCACTCAGTCGCAGTCGCCCCCCCCCCTCCCAAGGCTGCTTGGGCAGCCCGAAGCCTACCTGAGGCTCTTCAATGCTCACCACGGTCTGCAATACGACCATGGAAGACCAGCAATGCCGCCCAGTCAGAAACGCCCGAGACGGACGAGAGTAGCCCCCCACACGGCACCAAGATAGATCAAGAGGGCCCCAAGAGGGCCCCAAGACGGCCCCACAGGAACCCAAGACAACCCCAAAATGGCCCAGGTAGGCCTTATGAGAGCCCCATCAAGGAATAGAGAGATGATAAACATCACATGTTACAGCATTCTGGGCGTCGCCACAGACTGCTTCGCTGGCATGGTTGCGGAACTTGCCGCTGGCAGCTGGCATACCCGTCTGTCGGAAGAGGTAGGTAAAAGCATGAAGAGAGGAAAGCGGACAGAGTAGATTGGACTCGGGCACCCCCGAGAATGAACGCAGCGCAGACAAAGCAGATCGATTCTTGAAGTAGGAAAACGCTGGACGGAGCTTGTGATGTGGGAATATAAAAATGTATACTTCCAAGTGAGCGTTTTTATTCGGCGTGTCGACATTGGGCGGAAGAGGGGGGAGGGGGGGGGTCTGGCTCTGGACCTCTGCTTACTGCGACTGTTTGCAAGAGTGCTGCCTCTGGGGGGGACTCCACCCGCTCGAAACAGGCGCCAAAAAACAGCCAAGATCTACTCCTTGGGGTGGGGGAGGGGGAGGTGCGAGGGCCCGCGCCGATCGGCAAAACAATGAATAAAAAACAAACACAAGTAGGAAAACGCTGGAAGTAGATGGGGGTCTGGGAATCCAATAATGTCTACTTCCAACGACCAGCGCGCAGTCGGGAAGGCGAGAAGACCGATCCAGGCCGAGGGCCAGCCTCACCAGGATCGGTGCGGGCGGGCGCAGCGGGCACACGCCCGAAGAACTCGTGCTGCAAGAGATCCAAACGCACATCTGCCCTGAGCGTTTTTTTAACCGGCGATTCGTCATTGGGCGGGAAGGGGGGGGGAGGGGGGGCGGTATGGCTCTGGACCTCTGCTTACTGCGACTGTTTGGGACAGTGCGTCCCACGAGGGGAGACTCCACCTGCTCGAAACAGGTGCCAAAAACAGCCAAGAACTACTCCATGGGGGGGGAGGGGGGGTGCGAGGGCCCGCGCCGAACAATGAATAAAAACTATAATTTTCGGTTTCGCGCGTATATGCTTCGCAAGATGACCCCACATGTTCCTCGATGGTCCTCGCCGAGAAAACATGCACACAGCCGAGCGATACCAGAAGTAGTGCAGGTGGACGCAGCAGGCACACGTCAGAAGAAGTCATGCTGTAAGAAATATAGGAGCACATCAGTCGTCCATATTCGACCTTACAAAGGCACAGTCGGACCTAGGCCAGAAGAACATCACTCAAAAACATGAGACCCTCCGCCGGCCAAAACAAACAGAACATCCAAGGGTACCCTCCCCAGGGTGCACAAGAACGTCCATTGCTACACACTCCATCGTGGCAGGAAACTTCACTTGCACGATGGCGTGTGACGGAAAACTTCGCACTCCCCAATTGGGCCCCAAACGGGGACGAGCCCGCTGTCCGGCGAGAGCTCTGAGAGTCAGTATCCGACTGTCGGCGCGCAGTAGACGGGCAGTGGCGAAAAACTGGCGGGGTGCGGCGCCGATCAGGAACGTCCGGAACGTCCAACAAACACGAAGAACACTACCCTCCCCGAACCGACCTCGATCTTATACCTCGGTCCGGCTGTACTCCTCCCTCCTCCTCAGCCCTGCATCTATTGTCCCAACCTTCACGCTGCACAACCCGCGCCCACAGCTGACGCCAGAGCTGTGACTGAAATACCGGCACCGCCCGGGCGCGCACGACGAACTTCGGCAGCAGGCTGTGCAGGGTGGATGCGGCCCGCCTCGACACTGCGAGGCCTCCAACATGGGTTTACGGATAGATGAGGTCGGGGGATTCGCGCCTCGTCGCCGATGCAGCGGCGATGCGTCGGCGACGCCAACGCGGAGAAAATCGAGCTCCACGTCGAGGCCCGTCGACGATACATCGGCGGTGCGACGCGATCCTGAGACCCCGCTGTCTCTGCCAGCAGTGATGGCACCAACGAAACTTCGAGCCCATGCCGAGGAGGCTCGAGGGAGGGCGGAAGAGGCGACGGCGGCAGCAGACGACAGCGAAGATCTCTCGGCACGCCACACACCGCGCCCACCGTCCGCCACGCGAAGTGGGCCTCCATCTGCTCGGACCCCACTGGTCGGCTACACGCAAAAGTGGCACTATAGTCGGGGCGTTGACCTAAGGAACCCTCAATAAGAAACGAGGCCCCTTTTTCCCATAAGTTAAGCTTCGATTTCCCATGGGAAGCCAAAGGAAAACCCAAGGCAAACTGCAAAACAATCAAGGAATACCGAGCCCCTCCCCAACGAAAAGGGTTCCTTCTTCAGCGCCCCGACTGTAGGCAAGAGCGACCTTTGATGCGCGACTTGGGGGGCCGCGGGAAGGCCAAACACGAGCGCGCAAGACGCTGCCATCGCATCGCGTTCAGTCGTCTAGGGGCCCCAGTGTGCCCGCACCCAAGGTAACTTAGGCGAAAGGTCACTCTTACACGTCGGTCAGAAGAAGTGGGTCCGAACATGAATTAGGAAGGCGGATACAGTAGATTGGGCTCAGGCCCTTCCAGAGAATTACTCGACGCGGAGATCCCCATATGTGCATCTCATTGTGATGGCAAGCTTCGGTAGAAGACATTGTCATTTTCAATATCCGAGTGTCGGCGAATCCACGTGGAAAACGAAGCCGAGAGAGAGACGCCGACGACTACGACGACTTTAAGTATTTGCATTCTCCTTCCGTCCTCCTCCTCCCCCATTGTCCTCCTCCTTTCTCCTCCTTTCCCTATGAGCACATGTCAAGAAAATCGACCCGTGAAGACGAGAACGGGCCCGTGCAATACCCTCTGGTGACCCCGTTGGGCGTGCTGAAACCAGCGCCTCGCCTGATGCATCCTCGGAAACTGCTCCGAGAGAGAAGGATGCTGGGCACCCAAATAGGCAAACCGCCTGAGACATCCCCCCAATCTAGGCGCGAACGGGCCCGCGATATACCCCTGGCGCCCCCCCCCCCCCCCCCGGGAGTACTGAAGCCAGCGCCTCGCCTGAGACATCCTCGGAAACTGCTCCGAAAGAAAATGATGCTGGGCACCCAAACAGGCCAACCGCCTGAGACATCCCCCCAATCTAGGCGCGAACGGGCCCATGATACACCCCCTGGCCCACCCCCCACCCCTTGGGAGTAATGAAACCAGCGCCTCCCCTGAGACATCCTCGGAAACTGCTCCGAGAGAGAAGGATGCTGGGCACCCACCCAAATAGGCAAACCGCCTGAGACATCCCCCCAATCTAGGCGCGAACGGGCCCGTCATGTACCCCTGGCGCCCCCCCTTGGAAGTGCTGAAACCAGCGCCTCGCCTGATGCATCCTCGGAAACTGCTCCGACAGAGAAGGATGTTGGGCACCCAAACAGGTAAACCGCCTGAGATATCCCCCAAATCTGGGCGCGAACGGGCCCATTATACACCCCCTGGCGCCCCCCCCTTGGGAGTACTGAAACCAGCGCCTCGCCTGAGACATCCTCGGAAACTGCTCCGAGAGAAAAGGATGTTGGGCACCCAAACAGGCAAACCGCCTGAGACATCCCCCAAATCTGGGCGCGAACGGGCCTGTGATACACCTCCTGGCGCCCCCCCTTGGGAGTAGTGAAACCAGCGCCTCGCCTGAGATATCCTCGGAAACTGCTCCGAAAGAGAAGGATGTTGGGCACCCAAACAGGCAAACCGCCTGAGACATCCCCCCAATCTGGGCGCGAACAGGCCTGTGATATACCCCCTGGCGCCCCCCCTTGGGAGTACTGAAACCAGCGCCTCGCCTGAGATGTCCTCACAGTGTGTGTGAGTCTGAGCGCGGAAATACCAGGAGTGTGAGTAAGTCTGCACACTAGTGATCCCGAGCATGAGCAACCTGAATATCAGGAATCTAAAAACAAGTGCATCTGAGTTTGAGTGAGTCTGAATATGAGTGAGTCTTCATGCGAGTAAGTCAGAGAATGATGACCTGAGGGTGGGAAGTGCGAGTGTGAGGTGTTCCGCGCGGTCTAAGTGATTACAAGAACCCCATCCTGAGGAGATGGGGAGTAACAAAACACTGCATAAGCATGCCGATGTTTGAAGCAGGAAGGCGCTAGAAGCATATCAGGATCTGGATCTTAAAAAAATACTGGGGGGCGGCGCGAGAGCGCGAAGATACTCACGCGTGCTCGGCGCAGCGCGAAGCGCAAAGTTCGGCGCCCTTGTTTTCGGGAATCTTCTGACCCCTGTCAATCCAAAACCGGATCAGTCAGGCCTTGTAGAATCGTGCAAGATCCTGCAAGACCCTGCACCCAAACCCGGGTCAATGCGAAAGATCCTGCAAGACCCCGCAGGATTCTGCACCCACGCCCGGGTCAATGCGACCCTTGCCCTGGAGGATCCTGCAAGATCGGGCGCTCTGGTTGACCCCCGTTTGCTAGGGGGCAACGATAGGGGGGGACTGGCATAGGGGGGGATGCATCGACCTGGAATCGGCGATATATCGCCGATAGATCGGCGATAGGCCGCCGATAGTGCATCCGCACTCTCCTGGACGGGTTGGGGCTATCAGACCCCCATCGGTGATCAATGGGCGACTGGGGGTCGATGCATCCCCCCTATGCTTAGGTCGGGCGTGTCCTCCTACAGGCGGATTCTGGACGAAACAAAATAATACTCAAAAAATATTCAAACTTATATTCAAAAATACTCAACAAATGGCCCCACACTATTTTTGTTGGACTATGTTTGAATATTCCTCCTGTAGAGCGACGTGCCCGACTCAACCCTGTGCCTATCCCCCCCATGTCGCTGCCCCTGATTTGCACTGACCCCCGTCCAGAGGCTCCCGATGTCCCTGGGCCCGCACTGATGGGCCGATCTTCCACCACCACTGCCGTAGCTACGAGGGAGGAGGAGGAGGAGGAGGAGGAGGAGGAGGAGGAGGAGGAGGAGGAGGAGGAGGAGGAGGAGGAGGACCCCCCCATCCTCCCCTCTCCCCCGACTGTTTTAGGGTCTGGCGGTAGACCAGGGTATCTGGCTTGCCCCCCCTCCCCCCCGCCCCCCAGGATAACCTAACCTTGCCGTTTGTGCAGGTGCGGGATGGGGGGGGCGCGGGCATATGCAGGGCTGTCCACAGCCCGAAAGTTAGGTTATCGGCCGGTCCCCTCCTCCCCCCACACCCCTGGATAACCCGTGTTATCGCCGATTCAAAAAAACGGTCTCCTGGGGCAGTGGTGGTGGAGCAAGAATGCCCACCGAGGGCATCGCTGCGGGGGCCGTGCCGCCGAGCTCGCGCACAGAGGGGTGCGACGAGCTCGCCGGCCTGCGCGCCGCGCGGCACCCCCTCGCTCCGCAGCGGCGCGCAGGCCGGCCCCTCGGGGGCCCGCACCTCTATCGAGACGTCGTGCCGCCTCTCTCGCTCTCCCTCCGAGGGCCCGCGTGCGGAGGACAAGCCAGAGTGCGTCCAAGTTGCCCGAACGCAAACGCCAAAGGAAAAGGAGGGATGGGGAGGGGCTGACAACCAACCACTATCGCCGTGGCCTGCCCTCCGCAAGCCGCCGAAGCCACCGCCCAGCGTGTATAGCGGCCTCCTAGATGGGGTCGGAGTAGATTCAGGTCGAGCGTGTCCCCCTACTGGGGGATTCTGGGCGACAAAAATTAACGAGAGCCCAACATATTCAAACATGTGCAAAAAAATAATCAAAAAGTCGTCCCCGGACTATTATTTTACTATACTTACACGTTCCTCCTGTAGAGGGACAGGCCGACTTCAGAGTAGATGGGGTCGGAGGATCGCGCCGCATCGCCGATACATCGGCGACACATCGCCGACGCATCGGCGACGCATCGGAGACGCACCGGCGATGCGTCGGCGACGTCGGCGCGGAGAAGATCGGGCTCCGCATCGAGACGCACCGCCGATGCATCGACGATACGGCGCGATCCTCCGACCCCATCCACTCCGACCCCATCCAGGAGGCCTAGAGTGTAGGTGTAGCAGAATCAGGGAGGCCTGGAACCTGGAACGAACGAGCGAGCGAGCCACCACGGCGGACAGCCGTCCGGACCTGCTCACGACTGCCTGCCATAACACCCCAACCCAACCCGAAGACCGTAATCTCGGTTTGGGGGGGGTACGGGCTCCACATGTGTCTTTTGTTCACTGTCCCCCGACCCCCTCCCCCACTGGAAATGGAGGGCAGCTTGAGGCCCTCGGGTCAGGTTGGGGCTGTTTGGTGGGTGGTGAACTCAAGACTTTGTGGGGGAGGCCGCGGCCTCCTCAAACCTGCACGTGTGGACTACGCGTAAGTCGGGCCCGTCCCTCTACAGGAGGAATATCCAAAAATAGTTAAAAAATAATATGGAGACCTTGTTTTAGCATGTTTGTACAATGTTGGACCATTTCTTGCATACCTCGCTTTCTTCGTCGAAAGATCCCCCTGTAGGGGGGACAGGCCCGACCTAAGACTACACGCAGGTATGCATATGATCAGGGAGGCCTGGAGCTCTGCACCGGCGGCGGGCCGCGGCCGAGCCGTCAGGGCCAGATCGGCGGCGGGGGCCCCGCGCGGCTGCGGAGCTCGGCGGGCGGCCCGGCACGCCGTGGAGGGGTGCGCACGGACCAGCAGCGGAGGTCCCAAGGGGGAGGCGTGGCTGCGCCGCTTGGCGGGGGGCCCCGCCGGGCGGCACGGGCCCCTGGAGAGGGCTCCCGGGCCCGAGGCCGGGCAAGAACGCCCGCTGGGAAGCAACTGCATCGCCAGGATCTCGGGGGGTGTTGTTCACCGAGAGACACGGCGCCCACGCCGCCTGCCCCTCTGCGACCGCTCGGCGGTGCAGGCCCCGCCTCGGGCACAGCACGGCCCGCGCGCTGCTCGCGCGCGCGCACCGCCTGTGCTCGGCTTGCGCGCGTGCGCGCACGCCGACCACAGGCGGTGATCCTCAGAACGTGTGCGGGTGCCAACGTGTGCTTGTCCACCCAAACCCTTCGACACGACGCAAGCTGCGTGTTCAATGAGAGCCGACACAGGTTGCGTGCTATCGGCGGAGCTGAACAGGGTGAACACAAGTTGGACCAACACACGTCCTAATTATTAACCGACCCTCCTGCCAGCACCTGCGCTCGTGACCGTGATCGCTTGGATTTTGGTTGGCGGTGTGGCAGTAGAAGCCTCGCAGCCCTCAGAGCAGCTAGGTCGCACCTAGATCAGCTGCGTACCCTGCCTCCTCCAACCTCCAACATCCAACCTCCAACCTTCGCCTCCTCCTCCTCCTCCTCCTCCTCCTCCTCGTCCTCCCGCCCCTTACTCCCCATGCCCCACTCCCCCATTCCTAACCCCCTCTCATCCCCCCTTTCTCACTGCGCTTGCACCCCCTCGCCCTCCTCCCCCCATCCTCCAAGCCCCCCCCCCGCCATGGCGCCCGCGCGCGCACGCCCCTCCCGGCACTAGCCCCGCACCCACCCCCGCTGACTGGCCGTGTCGTTCAGGGCTGGGAAGTACCGCGGCCCGCAGGTGGAGTCGTGCCCCCTCCCCACCCTCTCTGGTGACATTACATGGGAGCCTCCCATACCATCTTGTCGGCTCTTGCGAATCGACCCGAGTCGGCGCTTATCGACGCTAACCGACGCTAATCGACGCTAATTCGGAGCTATCTCATCGACGCCCAGACGTTAATCGACGCTAATCTTTGCTAGTGACGTAACTCAGAGGGTACACCAGGCTCCCAGGCTCCCGTGCTTTGCTACCGAGCACCCTGCAGCTGCGGCGCCACAGCCAGACGTCCGACGACATGCTCTCTCTCTCGCTCTCTCTCCCTCAGTGCGCGGCCCCAGGCGGTCCCGACGACCTTCCCCTGAGGGTGCTTCCTGTTCGCCCCGGCTCCATGCTCGAGGGCCCTGGGGCCCAGCAGCGGCACCCCGAGGCCGCAGTGGAGGAGAAACTCCGAACGCGCAACAAGCAGCTCCTCGGATCGGCGGCGCGCCCGGGGGGGGAACTGCGAGGGGGCAAGCCTTCTCAGAGGGCGGCGGGGCTTCTCACAAGCGCCCCGGCCTTCTGAGAAGCCGGCCGCGTCTTCGGAAAAGGCTTCGGCAACTTTTCGGAAGGCCGGGGGCCTTCGGAGCCTTCTGCGAAGGCCCGCCCCCTCTGACTTTCCAGCCTTGGCTCGCCGCCGAATGTTCGGTGGCAACTCATGCGAACTGTCCCAAACCATCTTATTGGCCGAAGGTAGTCGACGCGAATGGACGGTAATCGACGCTAACTCGACGCTAATCGACGCTCGCCAACGCTAGGTCGGCATCATCTCGTCAATTACCAGACGCTACTCGAAGCTGCAGACGGAATTAAGACGGTATACGTTCCGATATAGGGGGAGATAACTGGAGGGGAAACGTGCTGAGAGAGCAAAGGAACACAAAAGAGGAGGAGCAGGAGGAGGAGAGGAGGAGAAGAGAGTAGGAGAGAAGAGGAAGAGTAGGAGGAGGAGGTGGAGAGAAGAGGAGGAGAGAAGAGGATAAGGAGAAGGAGGAGGAGGAGGAAGAGCAGGAGGAGGAGGAGGAGGCTAAGGAGAAGCAGGTGCCGATCCCGCCGATGGACATCGTGGCCCACCTCGTAGAGACGACCGAGATGAAGCAAGCCATGACAGGATGTACGACGACCAGGCTTGAAGCCAGGAGATGCGTCGTCGCCTACGGGATCGACGTGGGCGCCGACATGGACGAATCCCGGAGAGCGGCAGGACCAAGAACTTGCAGCTCTACCACGGTGGCAGAGGCGATCGTGGTGGCGGCCGAGGCCGCGGCCGCGCGGAGCAGGGCGCCTGCGGCGCCCACGGCCGCTGGAGTGCGGCGCCTGGCTCCCGCGGAGGGGCCGCCGCCCGCGCCACCCCAAAGCGAGGGAGGCGCTGCTGCGGTGCCCCTGGCCCCCGCGGAGCCTCCGCCTCCCCTGCCAGGACCAGGCGAGGGAGGCGTTGCGGCCGCCGCCGCGGCCACGCGGCGCCTGGCCCTCGCGCTGCCGCCGCCGCCCCCGCCACCGACAGGCTGAGCGGGGCGCGCGGGCGGGGGGGGCCATGGCCCCCCCCCGAGGAGGGCAGCAGGTTACGAGTTAGCAGCAGCAGCAGCAGCGAGGAACGGTGATCGCGGCGCCGCGCGCCCGCCGTCGCGGGCCCGCGACGGACTGCGTGGACTCCGCGGGGCTGACGCCCCCCTCGGGAGTGGGAGAGAGAGGAGGAGGAGGAGGAGGAGGAGGAGGAGGAGGAGGGAGGAGGAGGAGGAGGAGGAGGAGGAGGAGGAGGAGGAGGAGGAGGAGGAGGAGGAGGAGGAGGAGGAGAGAGAAGGAGAAGGGAAGAGAGAGGAGGAGAGAGAAAGAGGAGGAGGAGGAGGAGGAGGAGGAGGAGAAGGAGGAAAAGGAAAAGGACGAGGAGAAGGAGGAGGAGGAGAGGAGGAGGAGGAGGAGAAGGACGAGGAGGAGGAGGAAAGGGAGGGAGACGGAGGAGGAGAAGGCGGAGGAGGAGGAGGAGGAGGAGGAGAGGAGGAGGAGGGAGGAGGAGGAGGAGGGGGAAAGCGGATGAGGAGGAGGAAGAGGAGGAGGGGGCGGGGGAAGCGAGAGGAGAAACAAAGAGGCGGACGAGGAGGAGGAGGAGGAGGAGGAGGAGGAGGAGGAGGAGGAGGAGGAGGAGGAGGAGCGCACGTCACCAGGGCGGGGCAAGGAGGAGGAGGAGGAGGAGGAGGAGGAGGAGGAGGAGGAGGAGGAGAGAGGAGGAGGGAGAAGGAGGAGGAGGAGGAGGAGAAGGGAGAAGGAGGAAGGGCGAGATGAGACGAGCCCATGGAGTCCACGACTGTCAACCTGATCGGCAGCGTTGCGCGGAATTCTTAAAGGGTAGCTTCGACCCTGTAGGGGGAGGAGGAGAAGAAGAAGGAGGAGGTGATGTTAAATATAACGACAAAAAACGGCAAAGGCGCTCGGCGAGTTCATCCGAAGCAGCAGCAGCAGCAGCAGCAGCAGCAGCAGCAGCAGCAGCAGCAGCAGCAGCAGCGCTACCGCCAGAGACCTTCTGTTGGCCTCCCCGCGAGGAGATGTGGGCGGCCCCCTGCGCTCTCGGGCCTGCCGGCGGAAGCGAGGGGCTGGGCCTGCTCCCCTGCGCTTCGCTGCTGCCCTCCGCGGGGGAGGCCCAGCTGGAGAGGTGCGCCCCGAAAGACGTGAGCACTTTCTTCGGGTGGGGGGCTCAGGGGGAAATCCATACGGGCTTCTGCACCTCGAGAAAAGCACTCCGTCTTGTGGCTCACCTCTTGCAGTTTCCCTGGAAAAAAACATCGAAAAGGCATTTTCAGATGTCACCCTTTGCCCTCCACCCAAAAAAACATGCTCGGAAGACGGGGGGGGCCCTGCCCTGCCGCGCAGGGGGGGGGGGGGGGGGGCGTCTGCCCCCCTGCTGCCATTCGCTGCCGCCCTCCGCGGGGGAGCCCGGCTGGAGAGGTTCTCCCCGAACGACGAGGGGGGGCCCTGCCCTGCCGCGCAAGGGGGGGGGGGCCCTGGGAGGGCAGCCCGGAAAAGGGGGGGCAGGTCAGAGCCAGAGGGCTGCGCGGGGCGGGGGCCGAGCGGGAGTCCTCGCACTCGAAGCACGGAGGGCGCGCGCGCGCCGTCTCTCCTCTCTCTCTCTCTCTCCCTCTTTGTTTGTTCACTCTCTCTCTCTCTCTCTCTCTCTCTCTCTATATATATATATATATATATGTATATGTATGTATGTATGTATGTATGTATGTATGTATGTATGTATGTATGTATGTATGTATGTATGTATGTATGTATGTATGTATCGCTCTGCTTGTTTTCTCTCTCTCTCTCTATCTCTTGCTCTTTCTCTCTCTCTCTCTCTCGTTGTGCTTTCTCTCTCTCTCTCTCTCTTTCTCTCTCTCCCCCCCCTCCCGCCACGCACCTCTCCCCCAACCCCTCGTACAGGCCTGCGTTGGCACGGCGCCACGGGTCACTTCGGGCAAGGAGTGTTGCGGCAGTCGGCAAGCACCCGTCCCCAGTGCAGTAGCAGCCGCTGCCCTGCATGATGTTTAGCTCGCTGCTCGTCTTCTCCTGGCGCCGGATGCTGTCTTGAGCCCCCCCCTCCACACTCGCCTCGAGGTGCGAGCCCGAAGGCTCGAGTTCTAAAACAGCACGCTCCCAAGAGGTCGACGCCCCAGCTGATGCTGTGGCCCCGAGCGGGGGTGGCCTCTCCCGGTCGTTGCACGCTCTGTAGCCTGTGCTACAGGCTGTCGCGCTGGAGCGATACGCATGGAGAACATGACAGGCGGCTGTCGATCCGACCATCTGGAAAGCATATGCTTGGAGAAGCGACTCTTCTACTGCTCCGAGCTCGTCCCTCGGCGCACGCCTCCTCCGCTGCCAGGTGGGCGATATTGGCAGTGATCTCGTCGGAGCTGTTCCCTGCCTTCTTGATGTAGTCCACCCAGAGGCTGGGATCTTTGTGCTGCCACCTGTAGTGTGCCCAAATGCCTGGGTCGTCCTCTTTCCACTTGGGGCGGATTGGCCCGCCGACCTCCATCTCGTTGTGGTTGTTCTCGCTGGGCACCGTGACCGCGCTCAAGCTCTTGGCGCCGATCTGCACGTTGCACGTCTGAAGGCCCTTGAGGATCTCATAGATGCCCTGGAGCTGGTCCTCGATGATGCGGGTGCACTCTTGCTTCGCCATCTTCTCCTTGCCCGCTTTTTTGCCTCAGAGACTTTCACGCGGGCGGGGCTGACCTGGAGCATGGTCTTGCGGTCGAGGAGCGTCTCGATCTCCGTCTGGATACCACTACGCATCGCCTTTCACACGCGGCTGGTAATCCAGATGTTAGCCTCAGCGCGAGCCAGCACATTGTCCATGTCCCCGATCGCCGCGTGGCACGATCCGCGGCCACGGAAGTACGGAGGAGGGCTCGCCGCTCTTTCCGTGGAAAGGTCAGAACGCTGTAGGGGATTGCACGTAGGCAATTTGAACTAGAATCGTTGTGGTCAGTTTGCCCTGGAATCAATCGGTATGTGGGTGTGTTCTGGATCGGGAACTAGTGGCCGAGGCACCGTAGGAGGAGGAGGAGGAGGAGGAGGAGGAGGAGGACCAGGAGAGGGAGGAGAAGGAGGAGGACCAGGAGGAGGAGGAGGAGGAGGAGGAGGAGGAGGAGGAGGAAGAACCACTGGGAGAGACGAGCCAGAGAACCCGCCGTGCGGCAGGAGCCTGCCGGGAAACGACCCGACGGGGGCGCCGGCCCAGAGCAGGACAGTGGCGCAGACCGCCCGCGAAGAAGGCGGCCCGAGGGGGGGGCCCCGCTGAAGGGAGGATGGGAAAGGAGACAGACGTGGACGGGAGTGGTGTCATGATAGTATCGGCTCAGGAGAAGTTCCAGATTTCCAGGTTATCCTGCGGCCCTCGTTTCTGTAGCCCGTGTGGGGCACGAGGACATCTGGGAAATCTAGGACAGATTGGCCCGTGGAACGCATCATCATCATCATCATCATCATCATCATCATCATCATCATCATCATCATCATCATCATCATCATCATCATCATCATCATCATCATCATCATGGCCTCATAAGCTGACCGCTCGGGCTCACGAGCGAAGCCCCTGGGCTCCAACAACTTGAGCATAGTGAATCCGATCCATATCCCCAGCGGCGTGGCCTGGGCCCCACTGGCCGATCTACCCCCCCTAGATGGGGATATAGGCCGTCTCCTTCGGGCTTCGAGGGGTGTAACCCAAACTGGGGGGGGAATTTGGTGGGGCTCTCGAGGGGGATGGGGATGGGGATGGGGATCGGTTACACGATACTGACAGCTTGCCAGCCCGAGGGCTCAGGTTCTGGGAGCCCCGCGGCGCTCGGGGAGGGGGGCGGCGCAGAGGGCGAGGACGCGAATCCCCTCCCCGCCGGCAGACCCAGGACGTCGTGTACTGCTCCACGGTCGTGTCGCCGGCACCGATGGCGTTCCAGTCAGTGTGGCACCCCACCTGGACACTGGCACTGGCACTGACACTGCGCCCCCACGTCACTCGGGACGGCCCTACGAGGGGCGGGGTGGTGGCGCCTCGGCGCCGACAAATATGCAACAACGTCTCACGCTGGGGAAGGGAAGAAAAAGAAGGAGGAGGAGGAGGAGCCAGCCGGCAGGTTCACTCACCTTGTATTTGCCATTGTTCCGGCACCCCACCCGGAAGGAGACGGGAAGTCGGATTCGAGCCAAAGGGGAGGGGACCTCGGCTCGGCCGAAGGCTTCCCCGAGGGCATAGGTCCCTTCACCGGGCAAGGATCACCAGTTCCATTTGCTCTGGCTCGGGCCTGTCCACCCAACGAGGTTCCCTCCTCTATCCTTGCGCGCGTCTCTTCCTCTTCCTCCCCCTCACCTCCTTCCGCCTCCCCATACCCAAAACAATTGTCCGTAGCCATTTTGGCTCAAGGGGCCTTTCTCCTGAACTTCCAATTTCGCTCGAGAGATTGAGGCGGGTGGTTCTCTGATCCCCTTAGAGTCTTACCGGCCAGGAGTTCGCGACTCCGCCCAGCTTTCATTCACGATTACAGCTTCCCCGCAGGAGCCGCCATGTATGCGGCGCAACAGCAAGGAGGGGGGTCGGGACCTGGTCTTAGAGGTGCAGGACCATTCGCCCAACTACCCATCGTCACGAACAATCCTTTCTTCCAGCTTGGCCCGAGGGTTCCAGGTGTGCAGAGGGCGGTGGATACCCGTCAGAAGAAGCAGCCGAAGGCCCCTCCTCCCCCTGGCTCATGGGCATGTGCATACTGTCCCTGCAAGCGCAACGACCCGCGCTTCCACGTCTGCAAGCATTGTGGCTCAACCAGACACGCGCCAGCTTTCGACAAGTCTCAGCCGCCCATGGGAGTATGGGCGGGCGGCTCACCGCCAGGTCGCTGGCAGAGCTCAGCATCACCGCCTCCTCCTGCTGCTGCTGGCAATGGTACTCAACGCGGCGATGCTCAGCACGACGAGGCGCAGCTGGACACGGTCGAGCACGAAGCCCTGGTCCGCGCCCTGGGCAAGATCGGCGACAAGATGGGCGCCGCGCGATACCAGGCCGTCTTGGATCAGCGCCGCGCCCCAGCCAAGGAGACGCCCATCCAGCAGCGCATCGCGAAGGAGTTCCACAAGCTTCGAGTTGCGGAGGGACGACTGGGACGTGCTGTGGAGCACTTCGACCAGATGCAGGCCCAGCTCAACTCACAAAGATTGGAGGTCAAACGTCTCAGTGCCGAGCTGCAAGAAGCTGAAGAACGCCACGGTGCCCTCGTTCGTCAGTTGCACTCAGCCCACGCTCCAAAGGCCGCCGCGGAGCAGGCGCCGCAGGCACTCACGGTCCGCAGCATCCTCGACGGCTCGCTGGAGGACATACCCATCGAGTTGGGAGACGTGCTCCAGCTCGAGGGCCCCGACCTCGAAGGCATCTCGGAGGAGGGCAAGCGCCAGGCCGAGGAGCTGGTCATGTCCCTCAAGCAGGGCCTGCGTGAGCAGACCCGCGCCCTTTTCTCTGCCGCTATCGAAAAGGCTGACGCCATCAAGTCAGAGCACAAGGATCTGCTCACCCGTCTTGCCGTCAAGAAGCGTCGCACTGAGTCAGGAGCCTCGGCAGGAGCTGGTGGCACCGCTACCCCCAACCGAGCCACGAGGGGGGCCACCCCCAGAGCCCGCAGGCCCCGTTGCCCCTGGAGGACCTGGAGAGGCAAAAGAGCCGCCTCACGCCCCGCAGCCTGGTGCACCCGCGGGCACGGCCCAAGGGAGCAGCGGAGTTGACCTCAAGTCGAGGGCTGCGGCCATTGCCAGACCAGTCCCAGACGAAGGGTCAAATCTTTAGCATACCCAAGGGGCTCCAGAGGGCTCAGGGATCTCCGCCTAAGGGGTTCTGGGGAGCGCTGGCCAGAACCCTCGACAGAGCTCAAAGCATTTTGGCGGAGCCCTGTACAGAAGCCCTTGAAGCCCTGCGTGTGCGTGGGATTAGCCTAGCTCAATCCACCTTTTTAGGTGCCTCCGAGGACTCAGATGTTTCTCTGATTTTGGCTTCGGCCAACGGCTCAGGCTGGGGTTCGGGCCGTACGTGGCTCACCCAGACGCCTGCCAATGTTGTTTGCCTCCATGAGCATTATTTGAGGTCCCAAGAGGACATCGCGCAGGCCTCTGCATGGGGCATTCGCCACGGGTGGAAATCTCTCTGGACGGCAGCCCTCCCAGGGGACAATGGAGGTACCCGTGGCGGCGTCAGCATCCTGGTCAATGACTTCCTGGGACTCCACGCGTTGGGCAGCAACCATACGCTTTTTGATGGCAGAGCCATAGGGGGCATCATCCAGGTTCCTGGTGGGTGCCACATCGCCATCGTCTCCACTTACCTCCTGCACGGTGTGGGCCTCGCTGAGCCCAACATTTCCGTGTTACGCAGTGTTGGTGAATACGTGGGGGCTTCTGGTCTGCCTTGGCTTGTCGGCGGAGATTTCAACCTCGAGCCATCAACGTTCTCCACCTCCGACTTCCTCGAAGTTGCCCGTGGTACATTGGTTTCCCCCCTTCTCCGACTTGCTCAACTACTGGGGGCATGAGAACCAATGATTATGTTATCCTGAGCCACAGCCTTAGCAAAGCTGTGCGGTCCATCGACCTGGATAGGGTGTCGGACCTCGCTCCTCACACTCCCCCTTTGCTCAAGCTTTTCCAGTGCGTTGCCCGCCTCCGTGTCATGGCTTTTCAGGAGCCCCCGCGGATCAGCCTTGATCGTTGCATAGGGCCGCCATGCGCCCCGCCAGTGTACGATCATATTCGCGCTGAGCTTGAAGGGGTGCTGCGGACGGCCCAGCCGGGCAAGGGTCAGGCTACGCAGAAGGGGCTAAATCGGGCCTACCAGGAATGGGCGGACCAAGCCGAGATCGAGCTTTGCAGGCTCACCAACCAGGACATTCGGTTAGGCCTCCGAGGGGCTAAGCCGAAGATCATTTGGAAAAAGCTCATTGATTCGGACATGAGGGACCCGAGGCACCCCGACCTTTTTGCTGCGCGCTGGCTCCACCAGCGCCTCATCGTCTTCCTGCACTCGATGCAGGCTTCTGTTCCTCCTCCCCACCATTTGCCAGGATAGTGTTCGAAAGGTGTCAAGAACGCGACCGCTGTCCAAGCGGCTCGCTCGGCCCTGCTTTCCGTGCCCCGCCAAGTGGCCAAAGCCCAGGGCGGCCTGGCCCCTCTCTTCACTGAGGCCATGGACTTGGCTGCGGGGGCCGACCTTAGTTCTCAGTCTCTGCAGACAACTAAGGAGCTACTGGGCCGAGTGCCAGACGCTGTGGATCAAGCGTGTCAGGCCGCCCAGGCTAGGGGAAGGTCCTCATGGAATGAATGGTTGAAGACGGGGATCGAACAGGGAGCGCGCAGGATTCACCAGGTCACGGACACCCCCAAAGCCTGGACGGCCACGGCCGTCCTGGCCGACGATTTTTCTGTTGTCAGCGACCCTCCTTCTGTGCTCGCCTCGGAGGCGATCAAGTTTCAAGGCTTGTGGCGAGCCTCGATCGTCCCTCCTCCCCCTCCTTCTGATTTTCTCCCCTTGGAGCCCCTGGAGACCCCCGAACTCGACGAGGTCCGCGCTGCGAGTCGGCGCTACAAAACCAGGGCTGCTGTCAGCACGGACGGCTTCCATATGAGGTACTTTTCTTGGCTCTCGGACGACTCGCTCAGGACCCTCCTGGACATATTCAAGATCATGGAAATCTCCTCCCTCATCCATGAGCAAGTGCATAGACTTACGATGATGCGTCTTCCCAAGCCTGTGGGAG